TGTTCGGAAAAAAAGTGCTGCTTGGCACGTGCCTCACTTTTAATTCCCAAGTTTTTCCTTAGCGAAAGTATATCATTTCACTTGAGTTTGCTTCTTCTGCTGAAAATCAGCGTCTATAAGGCTCACTGTTGATAGGTTTCTATTCATTTTCATTATCAACTTAGGGGCATCTTCCATGAAATGAGTAGATATCGAATCACTAGATGTTACGGAGAATCAAATACGCTTTTGAAGCAGGATAATGATCTTTAGTAAAGTTTGATTTTTTAAATAAAAAAGTTAATTACGAAGCTTAACCGAACTGCAAGGTTTCGTTTTCAGTCAAAAGAAGCTCTACGCAAGAATATTTTCATAAATTTTTATTCCATAGTCACAGACTTATCACCGCTGGAAACGTGAAAATTGGCCACAACTGAAATGTCTCTAACGAAAAAAAATGTTTTGAATTTGCTTTAACAATTACCCTACTTAAATGGATAGATGAGACAACAAAACGTTTGCTGAGATAGCTCAAAATAAGGTATTCCAAGTTTATATCGCAGCCTCTTCAGTTTATTCGAATTGGACCATAAATGGAAAAAAATCCAAACGAAGGAAGGATACAAATACAACATATATTACTTTGTAAAAAACTGAAAAAAGGCAACATATTTGGTTGGTGGCAACTACATGCTTGCCTTAGTTCAAGTCACTTAACAGAAATAAGAAAATTTCTCTCGAGTCAATATGCTTTAAGCAGAAAAACTGAACTAAAAGGCTAAATTTTTTTGTATGAAATTCGTCATTCAGCTGCAGCTGCAGTTCAACTCATTACGACTCATTTCTGACTTTAAGCTTAAACAAAAATTTGCATTTTCTTAACATCAACACTTTATATGGAGCGAATACTGATCTGGTATGTAATATACGCAACAACAAATTCTATCAAGGAAATTTTCAATCGCCCAAAAAGCTACCTTTATGTGAAAACCCGAAGTTTATAAACCCTACTGTGCACGAAATTAGGACTGCATTCTGACAATTTCATTTTTCAAACTCAAAGATAACGTACCATGACATGATCTGTACGGGCTAGCAATTGTTGTGTACTTGAAACAGTCTTTTGCATAAATTCAGCCTTATTACTACGATAACATCCAGCAATTGAGCCAATTATCTCCATCTGCAGATTTCCATAAGTTTAGTTCTCCTACATTCAAGACCCTGTACCGAGCTTGGAAGCCCTTGGTCACAAAGAAACTACCAGAATAGGATTTCACACTGTTTCGCCTAACGTTCCCTTACGTTGGCAGCAGATTGCTTGGATCGTTCCTCTATTCGGTTCACTTTTATTTGTAGTATTTAGCATCTAAATCAAAGTTTCCTGATTTGTAGAATTGAACAGCTTATGCATCGGGGATACATTAGTTGGCCATACATTAGACCGTAGACCAAAAGACGGAATATCAGATCATAATATCAAGTCTGAATTCTTCACGGGGCGAATAGCCAATGGATAGGATATATCTATTTGTATGAGAATATAAGAGTAAGAAGCTGTTAAAATCAGAGAGGAATTAATTCCAGGGATGTTCAATATCTCATTCAAGAAAGAAAAACATGAGAATTAGCTTTTAATCAAATTTTACCTTAAAGTAACTAAATACTGAAGAATGCAATCATGATTACTTTGCGACAGTATCATGCTAGGAAGCATAGGCGTTGAGGAATAGACCCTCCCCCATAAAAGCTACGGAATTTCAAAATTGAGCAAATGGTCCTCAAATCGAAGAAGAGATAGTTCAAGAACTATATACTGAAAATTGTTAAGTCCATACAACAAAATTTATCGTAGATGTGATAATCTGAAATTGTTCATTATCGTATGTCGTTTTAAGAGTGATAAAAATTTCCTCCACAGTTTAATATTTAGTGGTTTTAACCCTGATCCTGTGTCACAAAGGGGTATGCTAAGATGATCAGTATATTCAGCATGTATATACATGCTACATGTCACCCTCAAAATATGTTGCTCTACTCAAAAAAAACGGTGAACACTCGGTGCATTGAATTACTGGGACACGTAGGACAGAACTATAAAATCTCAGCGTGGTCATGTCATAATAGTTTCATAGTACAACCTCAGGAACAAAAAAAATTTAAAACGATTGTAAATCCATGTTTCAATTTGTTATTGAAGAAAAATATAGTTGATGGCGATAAAAAGCCATCATTCAGAGCAGTTCTTCCTGGGAAATTTGAAGTTGAGGTCAAAGCTGAAATGACTGTGAAAAACTTAAATAATATTGATACACTTCCAACATAATGCAAAACGTGTGTGACTTATTTCCATGCATCATGGGTGGGACTTGCACCATTCTGCCGATGCAATTTGTCGAAGAAGGCAACTCGAAAGGGGTGTCAGACTGATTCAAATTCTCGTAAGTCCCTTTTCGTAAGGAGAGATCTACAGCATTGGTAATGATTTGAAATTGGGGCTATTGCAATTACATAGTACCTGCGTCCCTTCAATGTCATCTTCAGACATTTCTGAAAACAAAGCCAAACTTACGAGCTTGAAAAAAAGTTTCGTTCAGCAACCTTGTAGAGCCTAACTCATTGCCTTACACTCTGACAGTCTTTTTAAACATGACTGATAAAACCCAAGAATGAAAGACAGTAATCATACCTGGTGTATCACCAATTTATAACCGACAATTAGCAACAACTTCTGCTATGAGGGTAGGATGGTTTGTAAGTCAACTCTCTGAGTTATATGAAATACGTTTATTGATTTACTTCGATCTGCGAAATTGTGTTCATTGCTTCATGCAACTTAAGTAAACACATAAGCCAGTCTTCGCTTAAATCAGCGAGTATTCTCAAATATCTTAAATTGTCAACTTGTCGAACCATAAAACAAATATTTAGCTTTCAGATTTTATGCTCTCCTAGTTCAATTGGAAACTATGGAACTGTGGAACGGTTGATTTGAACAGCATCAAAGAAGTAGCAACCATTTACACATTTATGGCTATGCGAGTTAAATAATGAGTTCTGTAGTGATCAAGGAGTACGAAATTTTGTTCATCAATTTGGTAAATCGCCAAATATTTATGTTTTGAGTTCTGAACTGTAGAGTAAACAAAGACGTATATGCGATAATTCAAGCTTTGCTGGTTCTAAAAAATGTTCGCGGTCTAAGTTGGAAATAAATTTCCACTAACCTCAAAAATGAACGCGAGTCCGGGCTTTGCCTTTGTGTGTCGTTTTCTGAAAATCGCTCAATGAACAATAAACAGTTTGTAAAACCGCTCATTAGCTAAGGGTGAGCGCCGCACCAGCTCTTGAGGGCTATTTGCTCTTTTGTTCGGGGAAAGTCAACAAACATTAAGCCTATTAAGTCCTTCCGTCACGGTCGAGGTCTTTACAAAGTGTTTCTTCTCGACGAGTTTTCAGATTCACTTGACAAGTTCTGAGCAGAACTGATGTTCACTAATTACTTCTTTACAGCCAAGCCATGAAAACTGACACACAGCTTTAATTTCTTTTCCCCCGTCATTCTAGCCTCAATGGATTGGGCGGAGAAAGAAAACAAAAGATAGGCGATTATAATCACTGTTGAATATTTAAAACTTCACCAGTAACCTGTCAGGACTTTGAAAGACTCCATCTGTCCGGATAATGACAATTTTGCGAGCTTTCGGTGAACCATTCTTTCTTTATAGGCGCGCAAGATGACTAGCGGGTAGAAAACTGGTCATAGATTGTGAAAGAAGACAACGAACTCGGTAAAGCAGGTGACAACTGAATCTCAGTAAAGCTCAGTTAAACATGTAAAATGGTACTTCATTCGCAGATTTTTACTTTTATTGTTCCATTTAAACCTTTTTGAAAATGGAAAGGAAACATCGGGTGAGAAAATTCTATAACTGCGATATCGTAACCTCAAGCGACAGCTCTAAACCACACTAGTCAAGTTAATTTCAAAGCAGATTTTCTCAAACAAACTTCCAAACAGTGCACTGAACCCTTATTAAAATTTTCCTTGTCTTTCCCATGTTTTTAGCGGGAAAAAGATCTACGTCTAGAGTTGAAAATAAACATGAACACCTACTCTTTCAAAGTCAATAAAATCTGAATGATAACACAAGTAAACAGTGAGCTATCGAAAGCAGTGGGAGAAAAATAAATATTGGGATGACCTGAACAGCACTCTAGCAAAGTAAACACATCGCCTGTAATTAGTCCTGATAACGAACTTGGAATATGTCGGGTGTGTTTTCCTGTACGCAACTTCCTCGTAGAAATACAATTAATTTCAACAGTCCGTGATTTTTTTCCCTGTTTTTGTAACATTTCAACCAAAGACAAAAGGTTTTTTGTGCGATTCATTCATCTTTTACACCAAACCCCAAAAGCGAATATCATTTCCCACAATGTAATTTTTTGCGGCGCATTTGTTTGCGATCGCCTAACCGTGCAGACATTTTTCACGAAAATGCAAGACTTTTCAAACATGACAAGCAAATATTTTTTTCTTGAGGAATATGCTAACCATAAATATTTGGACTTGTTTCAAAAGAAAATTTGCATTTTTATCTGTAATTCAATATATTTAATGAAGAAAGTTTATATACCTTTCATAAAGCCAACCCCTCCGGGTAAACTTAACCGCTAACTTAACTTTTGAAGGTCATTGAGTAAATTCTCAACAACAAAATAAACAACTGTTCACAAAAAAAACGCTGATTTTCAATCTGGCGTTTCTAAATAACAGTTTGGAACATTCACGAAATTACCCACATGAGCATAGAAGAAAACCTCAGTATCGTGGATAAAAAGAGGGGGGCTTGTAATCTTAGACGCGCGGACGTTTCGCCAAATGACCGAGAATTATCACACGAGACTACCTGCAGCTCCGGCATCTGCACGCGCTACTACACGGTTGACAAGCTTGCTTTAACTTGTTCCACCTGCTACCAAAACTTCTCTTTTGTGTTAAGCTACTCTCAACTTACCTAAGAACTGATGATATGTGGTTTAAATCCAACCTGACGCAAGGTCGTGTTTCTTAGCACTGCTACGTATCAAAACGTGGTGCGTCGCACACAAAATGTCGCTCAGCCAAGTTACGACGAGGAATTTCCTACGGAAAAATCGGTGAATGAGATACTTGTTAGCTTGATTTATCCGACGCGACATATTTAAGACACACCTCATTAAGAAAGGTCTCTTCGTTGCTTTTGAATAATTATTAGTCAAACAAGTCGTTAGCAAAACCTGACTGATGCGCTTAAACAACAGAAAACTAAATTAACCTAAAAATATGTACAAAAAAAGAAAAGTACGATATGCTATGGTTGGAAATGATAAAATACTTGTTAGTTTTATTTATTTTATATTACTATGCCAATGAACATTTCTGGTCTTTATTGCTCTACTCGTTAAGTTCTTACTTTTAATTTTAAAAATTCTCCTTTCATGTATCGATACACTGAGTCTGTTTCTGGGTGGGAAAATTTGTTACTAATCACTACTTTTTGTTAGATTATTCAGAAAAGTTAGAATCAAATTTTTGACTGATGGAGGAAAAAATCATCGATGGTGCCTTCCGGTAAAATGAGAGTCATTTTATAAATAACAACGCCAGATTTCTATTGCTCTTCACAGAGTTTTACGGGAAAAGTCGCTCTAAAGAAGGTCCTAGATAAAACGGCAAGAACTGACTTATGGCTTGGAGAATGGGCGTATGCACACGTGCTATACAGCTCAAGTTCCTTTCATAACCTGCCCCATTAACACTTCTACGGTGAATGAATAAGTTTGACCACCAGAGAGAAAAACAAAACAAGAGAAAAACAATGCAATTATGTTGACTAAAAATAAACGAACTTTGTCGTTTTGAGAAAATACGCAAAACCTTAAATGCTTCATTATTGGTATGATATATGACCTACAAATCCCTAAAAACTGTGGATATCAACTTTGCCGGATTCAAGGGGAATCCTCTAAACAATGTCGCGAATGGCCAGTTCACCTCATTGCGTGCACAACCCGTTTATTACAAAAAAAAAAAAGAAAAAAAAACGACTTCCCGTGTACTTGGAAGACAAAATGTTGAGAACATGGCTTGGGCAAAGGGCAAAATTAACTTCATCTCATAAAACATATCCTCGTTTAGACTACTGGTACCATGTAACATCTTCAAAATCATGTGGAAAAGCTTTTTGTTTGAAATGTTTCAATTTCAAAATAAGCGAGATTGTTCTTTGCCTCAGCAATATCAAAGATATCGGTAAATAGTAAATTCTTTGTTAAATGTGCACTATTTGTATAGCTTTCATAAACCAAGGGAGTGCTAATAGATCTTGTTTCAACACAGACGTTCTTCTCAAAGATATGGTAGTTAGCCTGTTCTTTCCTTTAAATGATGTTTGTCTTTGCATGTAAACATGGTAAACGTCTGGTGTAATCTTCCTGCACATACAACTGCGACGTAATTACATAGCACTTCCAAATAAATGACCTCTTAACCCAACATAACGGACTAAAAACAGCTAAATAATCAAAACGATTTAAACCAACTAACGTATGATAATTTTTCCTTCAGAAACTCTTGGAAATAACCGACTTAATGCAATTTTAGATTAGAAACAGATTTCCAAAAATAAACACGATTTTAATTTTTCTCTTAGGAGAGACTTTAGAATGTGTGGTGAAATCCTTTTTTTTTCGTTAAAGCTTATCTTTTAATTCATTAAAAATGTCTGCAAAGTTTAGTAAACGGAATAAACGATTCAACGTCTGGATACTCTCCTCAGTGAAGAATTTATTTTAACAAATTGGAAATTTCCTGTAACTGAAGAAGGCAAGCGCAATGAATAGTACGACAGAACAATCAGAGAAACGTTTATTTCAGGGTGGATATTCCATATTTGTAAAGCAAGCAAACACTTTGAAATTGGGTGAAGAACACTATCATTTTATTGCCATATGCGCACCAGTAATCATCTTGGTGTTCTTTTCCAATCGCAAGAACAGTACATTAAATTGTAACAATAAACCGAAAAACCTAAAAAAAACAAAACAAAACAAAAAACTAATAATAGCAATGATAATCCTGAAATGAGTCTTTTTTAGGTGTTTGGCAGCCTCGACTATAACACAAAACGGTTTTACACGTAAATTCATATCGTGCCATTTTCGCCCATATTCCTGAGACCGTTTCTAATCGACAATATAGCAGTACATGAAATAATTTAGTCCCCCGGTCTATAAGTAACAATGTTTGACCAAACTTATCTCTTATTTATTCACTCATCGCTCGTGACCTGTAACATATTTACTTTGCCTTGTGAGTATTTCTTCAACAGTAAACAGACGCAAGAGCCAAAATAGAGAACTGATTCGATCATTGAAAAAAAAAATGAAGAAAGGACGAAGCTCTTAGGGACATAAATCCCATCAAGTACGAAAAAGACAACAACCATGTAGAAAGAAATTAAAAGTCATGATCATGACCACATAAAATTATCCTTTCATCTCAATGTTTTGGTCTCTTTTAACCTGATTTGGCCCCGAGCCTTCCTACTAAATGCAGACGTGTTATGCAAATCCAATCAACGATAACTATTCCACAATTTCCCTTGTAAAATTAGTAAACAGATCTAACTAAAATCTCCCGCGACAATATGCAACTTCCGAAATCGTGAAATCAACGTGTCCCAAATGTTTCATGCATTCATTGCATTACAATCGGTGTTTTTTTCATTTAACGAAATGTTAAAATACGAACATCGATTCAAACGTTTATCCTGATTAAGGCACAAGAACATTCCTTGAAAGTCGCCATTCGCAGTCGCCTATTTCTCATGAATTTTAAGTTATAACATTATTCATTTCTTTCGGTAACTGAATAAGGCTGCCTTTACCAGTAAAAAGTGCTTGTTATCAATTATTTCTCTCTAAGAGTGTTAAAACCAGTATTATGTTAACAGTTTACAGTAATATTTAATGATAAAGACAGGAAGAAAACCACATGCCTTACTGTACAATAGAGTAATTTGACCAAATTTAGTTTTTTTGGCATATCCGATATTTCTGTATTTTGTTGAAAACTCTCGAAATCTGTGGTTTGCTCCATTCACAATGCATTCCTTTAGAAAGTTAATTGCATCCACAGTTAAAACAATTGTCATAAGACTGATTTCCTGTTATACTGTCTTTTAATATACTTTATATGGTCGAGACGAAGACAATTGAAAACTAAGTAGAAAGCAAACTCCATTCATTTCCTGCTTAATTAAAACCAGAAATTCACCTGAGATCCCAGCAGTTTTTGCCACTCGCTACTGACCGACTCATTGTATTTTAAGACAATGAAGAAGTGGAAACTATTAATTTAACGTAAAAAAGATTAAAAATAACATTCTGTGTTTTGAATACACTTCATTGGAACAATTTGACTCTAATTGTTTACCTTTCTATAAGAAAAATCTTGTCAGTTTCTCGTCCTGCGGGTAGTGAATAATCCTTTCCGCTCTTTTTAATTTTGACAACAAAGACAGTTTAGACTGCCCTGCGCTGTGTTTTTTCCTTCTTTAATAATCCATTACAGATTCCATTTCCTTCATGAATTATACTAACAATTAGCCAAGGTTTGAAAGAGAGACTTCTGGTGCGGCGCTCTTTGGCTTGTAAATATTAATTATAGAAAACAAACGAAACGTTTTGCAAAGTCCACAAGTCATCTTCCTCTCCTGCGGCTACTAAAAATCAATTTAACAAGTTTTTCCACATCAATTCTAACATGATTCGACCGCTGAGGCAAGACTAATTATTAAAAGGTCAAACTGTTAACAAGAGAAAAACTCTAGTATATTTTCGGTGCCGATAGATGTTTTCAGTTAATTTGACAATTGGCGCCAAAATATCGAGCGGCGATCGGTAAAGAAAGTCATATTTGTCAAGAAATTCGTGATTCATAACAAAATAAAACAAATCTTAGACATGATTCTTTACAGTTTTTCTTACGCTTTTAACTTTGAATTAAAATATGAAACACCGAAGCTACGCTGTCCGCTCATTCCTTTTAAATCCCTTTATGAATTTGGAAACCATTCTTGAAAATAAAAACGTTTCTCCACCGCCTGTATGTGGCGTCACATTGTCCGAAATAAACTGCGGCTTCACGCGATGTTTTGAGGGTCCAATTTCTTGACAGATAAAAAGAAAAAGGAAATTTTCTATGTATTCCTTCATAATTACAAATAAAATACTGGGATGGTTAACTAATTACACGCCATAATTAGGTCGATCTCGGAACTTGGGTTTTTCCCCCTTATCTTAACATTATGGCTGCTTTAAGGAAGTCGGCTCATTTAATGCAGTATTTATTCAGTCGAAGCTAAAATTTCAAAATTTGACCAAATAGGGGGCTACTATCTTGTTAGTTTTTGAAACGATAAAACAACAAAGCATTACTGGAGTTTATATATCATTTGCTATCGATTTCCTGAAATCTATATAAAACTGGACCAACTCAGCTCATCATTCATTTCTCCAACAGGAAAAGGTTTCACCTGTGTCAAATTCTATACGAATTTATTTTTTATACCTTAAAAGTTGGATCGTCATTTACTTTTCTTCAAGTGCCCTTAAGTTCAAAAAGATCAGAATTCCAAATTTGGTTTTCCATAAACATTCACATCGAGCTATGCATACGTATTACTATTACAGAAATCGACAAAGCCAATTTTAGCAAAAAGGTCACGCAAATAAAATTACTGAAGGATAAAACCGAAATTCATGAATGAAAATTGATTTTTTAAAAATACTTCCTATTCCGTGGAGCTCTTACCTCGCCTTTTAACTCAGTTTCCGAAAGAGTAAGGTATTAATTCATTTCACTTAGTAAGATCTCATATGTGAAATGTCTAAATTGCATTAAGAAGCGTGGGGATTGAATTTCACAAAACACTCCCATCCACAAACGGAAAGATGAATTAAAAGCGACTGAGTACAAGATGACAACTGTACAACCGTACTGAACTACAATAGTTATTTACTTTTCTCGGCACGTACGAGTGAGTGATAACCGGTTCATTAATGTAAAATAAATATAACGTCGATGAAGATAGTCTAAATGCACGTACCGGCGATGTATTTTAAAATTCAGCAGTATACAATATTAAAGCATTGAGCCATTAAGTCATATGACAGCTTTTTGCCGCTTCGTTCTGTCAATTCATAGACACCGTATGTTCGGATGAAAAGCGAAATTTAAATACGTAGAAGTTTTGAGAAACAGATAGGTCTTTGAGCTATCGAATTTCGCCAACGCATTTGCCAGATGCATTCGATATCCCTAGTTTCGAAAACTTCACTTTTCCCTTTTGACCACGTTTTAAATTCGAAAGGTTTGCCACAATTTAGATCGCCTAACATATAAAGTAAGTTCTTTTTAAAGACCCATATGAAAGCACGATAATCTTTTGTCATGGGTATCTTCCCTTTTCGTTTATATATTAAATTATTGGGGGCCTAAGTAGAAATATAAGTTTACGATAATGGTCTGAACTTATCTCTTGACGATGTATCTCACGCACTTATCCCATAGTGATGCCTTTCGCTAGAATATCGTGTAACATTGGGAAGTTTCGAACTTTTCAAGCGCGCAGCGCAGTGACTTCTCTGTTCATCAATTGAATCACTTAGCTAACATAACAAATATTTCCGCGCAGAACGTTTATATAACAACAATGAAACTCCAAACATGTCAAAAACTGGGCACATTGGGTTAAGGGTAAATATGAAATCGAGTAAACGCTAAGAAAGATCAATATTTGTTGTAAACTACTCGGATGGTATTTTATGAAGCCTGAGCAAAGTAAACAAGAATGTTGCATCTCACCTCTTAAACGATCAAGGTTGACAAACAATTTGAACAGCTCAGAAATATGCGATCTTCAATCCGCGGGACCTGATAAGGAGAACAAAACTGTAAACTGAAGTCGAGTTTCGCAGAAAATTAAAAGAAATTTTGACGCACAGTACAAATCACCCAGCTCCTACCTTTGACACTCACGCAACACGAGAGAATGTAAGTGCTCTATTTCGATATTTGCATTACGTATTTACAAAGCGTTTTCGCGGGGATTTGTGGGAACGAACATGAATTATGGGTAATATTTTGCAGAAAAATACTCTTTCCTCGAAATTCGAAACATCTGTAGTATTTAAGAAAGGAAACGGGCGAACAATCAGATTGTTATGCAGAGATGAAGTATTTACAATGAAGAAATACTAGGCAGCCAAGGAAATAAACAAGGCGTACCAAAATTTATGACAAAATTTTATTTTTGAGTCAAGAGTTAGAATTTCAGGGAAAGAGACGAGTAACAAAGGAGAAAAAAGAAACCATTAAACTTTTGTGTTATCTTGTCGCCTTTCAAAAGTAATACTAGGATCGAACTATTGCTGGCGAAGCTTCAGTTGTAAATGAAATATTTTCTTAAGCATAAACCAATTCCGACAAATCAACCGCACATTGAGCGGTAAGAAATACCCAAAGAAAGTGACGTAAAAAATTGGAGAAACATGTGAAAAGCCATTAAGTGTTACTCACTCTATCTCTATGGCCACTCGTCCTTAGAAATTCTGAACATTACCAATCAAATTTTCAATTCAATCAACCAACTCTGAAAGAGTAATTTTAGTCCATTTTAAAAGCTTTAGTCGAAGTGTTTAAGAAGGCAATTTTAACTTGAAGTTCTCAGAACTAGAAAGGTATTCTATTTGCCTTTTAATGAACTCACCAAGGCTGTTTTACAGACCGTAGTGCGGTCTGTAAAACAGAGCTAACAACAAAACATGTTGGTTTTCAACTCCTCGAGAATAAGTGCTCTCCACATGTTCTTTTAAGATGGGAAATTATCTAAAAAAGGAAGGTTTTTCCAATTTCTGGCTTACTTTCCTTTAGTATTAACAAGATCACCATTTGGAAAATAATCGCTTAAGGGCTCCATCCATTCAATTTGTAAAATAAACTTGCTTTTCTTTCTTTTAACCACACCCTAGGTAAACATGACAACACTTACACTATAGGTGCTTCGTTTATGAGTTAATCCTACAAGGTAACCTTTGATTCACCTTTAATTCAAGCCTTGAATTAAATATGAGCAGTTTCTCTCTTCGCAAAATAAAAATTTTCCTCGAATGATAATATCTTCTTTTGTCGCTGGAATGACTATCATCTTTCAGTCAAACAAGCGAGGAAAACTGTTTTATTACTGGCAGGTGTTCCTGAAGAACTGTCTGTCATGTTTTTGATTTTGAAATATTTCACTTTTGAAGCTAATTTCCTCTTTGCCTTTGCTTAGTGTAATCAGCGTAAATTGTAACCTCGCATCATTTAATATTTTTGGCCGATGTATGAGTTAAGAACAAAACACAACACAAAAAAAAACATACCCAAACAAGGCGACGCTCCTCGATACCTATTTTGTATTTGACAGAGAAAAAGTTGAAAATCGAGGATTTAAACTTGCGAAGGAAAATAATGTGCAGATTCAGAAATGTAAGAAAATGAGAAAGATTCCCAATATTTGATTCTTCAAAAATAATGCAAAGAAACGCAAAGTTATGATGGAGTTACAGGTTCCTTTTTTAAGCGGGTTAACGCGTATAAAAAAATACGGCGAAATTAAGCATCGTTTGGGAATAAAAACGCTTCTGAGAACGATTTATTTTAAGTGGCTGTGTAAAGTTGAACGTTTTCTACACAAAATTAGAAGGTCAAAACCACTCCTTTGTCACCGAGTACGCCAGCATGCGTCGCGCTTAGATGAATGGCATCGAGTAAGGATACCGAGTGCCGATACTTTTTAAATTTTGCCCTTTCTGTACAACGGTCAACAGTAAATAACGTAATTCTTGAGAAGGGCCACAGTGAGTAGCAATTGAAAACGACATACAACAGACGCATTTGGCGGTTGAGACATAATCTGTGGATTCCGAAACCTTCTCGTAGATTGAGAAACTCTTGTGGCTATTTTTAGAAAGAAAGATTGTTATCGGTTTTCTTAAAAGGTATATACAAATTTATAGTTGTTTTCTCTTTCTAGTTAACACCTCGTTTTCGAATTCCGCAGGATGTAAATATCTGAACATTCGTTCATAGCTTAATTTATTTGCCAATAAATTTCTTTACAATGCATGACGAAGATTGACTCAGAAATAATTCTCGCTAGTATTTCTACAAGACATTTTTATGGACAAACATTTTTGCTGAACCGAAGCACATATTTGTGATCTCTGAATTTCAAGACAGAGAGAGCAAATACTTTCTCTGTATACAGAGTACATGGCGAAACTCTTTCGATTGAAATCAATATTGACCCTGATAATAAATTGTGATAAATTTTAGACAAATAGTTAGCTGTAAAAACATAGTGTTTCAACCAGGACTCCAACGGACTTTATCACCATGATCTAAACATATTAACTAAATAAACTGTTTTTAATTTTGGTTACTGCATTATATGTGTACAGTCGGTGCTGTGCCTTGAATCATTCAATGGAAGCTAAAGTGGTGTTTTTTTCAAGTATGTAAACTGTAATTTAAAGTGCTAACAGTCTGTAGTGGGAGTAATTCACTGAAGAGCTACTCCAAGTGAAGTTTTCCGAGGTTATTTTATTGCATATAAACACAAGCGACGAAGAAGTATTTCAATCCTAATCTTTTGTCCAACAAAAGCGTAATATCTTACTTACATCTCTACGGAAACTTTAAACGCTTCCATTAACTCGTGGTATAAAGCTTGTAGAATTGCAAAGCTTTTCATCCTTTGACGAACATACCTTCAATTCACCTTCCTTCATTCTTGAAACTAAAATTAACTGGAGGTTAAAAAAGCCAGACACTCAGTCATGGTAGAAAGCGAAAGCTTACCTGTCAGTTAAATGATGTTCTTATACCAGGGAAGGAACTGCAAGAGTGTAAAACTGATAGATGGTAGAGTATGCGATAGCCTCTAAGGTGTCCGAATGTCTCCAAGAGCCTTGGAAATTATGTACAGAAAAATTCAGTATTGAATAAGTTACAGGGCGGCGAGTGCCTTTGATGTCCAAGTCAATAATTTCATCACTTGTGAATGATTGTTGCATATGACTTGATACCCGGTATTGAGTTAACGGCTTATTATCTCGCGAATTACTTACGAATATCCAGATGAAAAAGCCGGCGTTAATTTTGCCATGTCCTGTTTTCATAAATATATCAGAAAACTACATATTCTCGGCTCGCAGCTAAAAGGAAAAAGAAATAACTTTAGAGTCTTTCAAAAGCAATTTTGGCTCGCCGATTTCTTGCGTCTTGTTTTTAGTAATTTTTATTTTGGTGACCGCAAATCGAAAATGTGTTCAAAAACTTCTGTCAAAACAATACCATATGAAAACAATTCCGCCAAATATAGCGGAATTAGAATAAAGAATATTAATAAAAGACTGTTTGCAATCTTAAATAAGGATTTTGTAGAGCGGGCAGATTATACACAAACAAAGCAATATACTTCTATCAATGAAACTTATGTCTGGTAAATTGACGTTTAGCGTTTCAGAAGAAAATTCATGCGTCTATCTTTATTAATCTTTTAATCAAGCGGCTACTTTGAAATACTTCGCAGGAGTAAAGCGCATAGGAAATGCATGTGAAATTGTTAATTTTCGGAAATAAGAACTTGTTCTTAGTGGCAAAAACTGGGGAGGCGTGACATGCGATTAAAAGAATATTTGTCAATGGTTGGAGCTACTCTCTCTGACAATAGATCGCCTTTGTTCGCTTGAAAATCTAGCCACGCGTAAAAGCTGAAAGAAATGTTAAATACCAGGTTACTTTAACACAAAGGCAAGCTTATGAAGCGGTCAAATATGCGTCTTAAAACCTTTGTTACTATTGTTCATGGTTAAATCAGGAAAAAAGCTAATGATAATGCCGTACTTTGCCGGCCAATTGACTTCTTTTTTGTAAGGAATTCAAAGGATTGAAGGTGCTTGGCTTTCAACAAAGCAAGCTTTGGTTTAGTGGTTTTCTCTATCAATTATCTTAACGCAGGTATATGTTTCTGGTAATTATTCTTCATTAGGCCATCGTTCGCCATTTTTCGGTCTTTTCAAATTTCAATCTCCGTTCATGTGAAGTTGGTACAAAGTGGAAGGAATATATTTGTTGTTGTTGTTTTTTTTTTACAGAAAGATTCAATAAGTGTTATCCAGTAACACATATCAACATTGTTACAATTTCAATTTCTTTGAAATAGGTCGCTGGTAATTCTAACTGTTGCCTTGTACATGCAAAAAAAGCAGCAGAAATACGGATATCTTATAGATACAGGGAAACTTAATCAGAAAACCCGTTTTTTCTTGGGTTCTGTGATCTTCCTCGTTCGGCTAGTGAACCGTTCGGCCAATGCAACATGAAATTAAAGCATAATGGTTTACCCGTTGTCTTTATCAGTAAGTATATTTAAATCGCTCTTTTCTAATCAAGTTGAACAAGAATAGCAAAAAGGTGAAATATCCGTTAGAAAAAAAATCCGCCTGCCGCAATTTACCCTGTAACGATTCCACCGCCATATGGGCTTGTTTGATTGTGGCGGACGGCTAACGCCGGCGATAAATTAGAACAATGCCAGTTACGAAACCACGAATTACCTACAAGAAACTTGACTTAAAACACCTGCAGTCTGGTCGTTACCAGCGCCTAATAATCAATTAACTCTCGAATTTGGGTACTCAACGAATTTTTTTTCGCTTGTTATCATGAATTTACCTTATCTCGAATGCACAAAAAACGGCCGACATCCCCAAACCACACCAAGTATGTAAACAAGAAGGAAGGAAAAAAGTGCCGAAGCCAAAATCTTTAAGTGACTGTTATTTTTTAGGAACTAACAGATTCACACCTCCATATCGGTTCTCTTTGACACTGATATAAATTATATGAAATAAAGAAGACTTTTAAATTCATAATGTGACGACCATTTATTATTTCCTGTTCGTTAAAATACCTTATGTTGATCAATGCACTCCTTTGAAAGGGCGCCTCTTGCTTCTTGCTAAACTGAACTAAATACGAATGGCTAGTAAAGTATGTAATTGAACTCTTTTCAATATTAAACGAAAAGCTTTCACTGATGTAAGAGTTTATCAAAAGCAACCTTAAACTTCTCCTTTTAGTTCCTTTTTTAATATAATTAGAGAAACTTCATTTACAGCATAGCGGGTGGCTTGGGTGGCCTGTCACAAATCGAATTTATAAGGTGCGTCAAAGTTTTCCCTTCAAGCTTCAATTTTTTTTTTATTTACATTGTAGATGAAAAGTTTAGAAAAGTTTAAAATAACGAACCAGTTTTTGAAAATGAAAATCTCGTCGATAGCCAATATGCTTCTATAAGCGATTCGAAAAGGACATTTGTCGACAAAATTGCGAAGCTTTTCCCATGGATGTTTTCCTTCAGACAGAACTGATCCTAAAAAGATTTCTCAGTCAGAAAGGCAATGAACGAAGAGTAGTCAGTTTCACTTGTCGTGACCCGCAATCAAGAGGAGTATATGCGACTTTAAGATCGGTGATGTATTTAATTTTAAAACACAGCTTTCTTCCGACAATATTTCACCTTTATCCTTAAACTATGAGAAATGTATTGTGCTCATGTGTGGCATACAACAAATTTTGTGTGGCGAATATTCTTTTGCGTCGAAGTGACTTTGAAGTGGAGATCACAGTAAAAGATGAACTAGGAGGATGAACACCACTGTCAGTTTTAGATTGCAAAATTCATGCTAAAATTTCAAATTTATCAATTACACTCTCTGTGAATCACCCTATCTCTCTCTCTTTAAGCGAGTCAGTGCTACCTCTTGTGTTGATGTATTCCTTAGAACTGATAATTTGTGTTCGCCTTCTCTTTGAAGGAAGTTCAAAAAAGGTTACAAATATCTGGACACCATTATTTTCACTTGAACTCGTTATATCTGTGTCTTAAGTCTCTTATCTCTTAGTTTTTTTTTCCTTTATTTTGTTGGTGACATTTCATGTAAATTTATCTCATTTTACAGTCCTATAGTCAACATCATGATCATCCTTCTAATTTTCATTTATCCTAGAAAGTTCTGACGTATCTCTGCATCAATTTACTTTAAAAGCATGCTTTTCTCTGACAGAAAAGCCTCCTAAAAATTATGACGAATCACGAAAGCGTAAACAATATTTTTAAGCATTGAACTAATGTATGTATATGCCTTTTAACAAATGCCATCAATTTTGATGTTTGAATTTCGTGTTTGGCACCTTTTTTGCACGTGGCACCAGATGTCATATGATTGCTTCTTTCATTGTGAAGCAAAAGCTCTTGAGCTCAAAGATTTTACAAAGGGATTGATCATGTAATAGAAGTAACCATAAAACTAAACACGATAAAAAGTTTACCAACTAGTTTACCAAGTAGCCTCGCTTTCGAGTTGCGAACAGTAGAATGTTTATCAAAATTATTTTAAAATATAAAGAATCTCCTCGTAGAAACAAGAAGGTTGCAAAGCCTTGAGAAAACTCTGAAACCCTCTGATTAAGAATGCATGGTTATTCGCCCGTGGATTAAAATGAACTTAACCAAGTTACCGGACCTGGGGCCTTTCTCGAGGTCCTGGTTACTTTATTAGCACGAGACCTCATTTTAAAATCTAGGTCTATGAAGGAACAGAGCAGCTGGTCTGAACTCAAATACCAGTGCATTCTGTTTCGTTCCTGATATTTTCATGGAATATCATAACTACTAATGTCTCGAACCTAAATGTAAACAAGTAAAAAAAAATACAGTTTTTTGAGGCCGGTTACCATCAGGACATACGAGAAACGGGCCATTGGAATTCACGTCAAGCATTTCTAAACCTTTTTACACAAAGATGATAAATTTATCACCTAATAAATTAAACTCCTGTTTAACTAACTTCGGATACATATTTTCATCCGTAACTAATTTATTTCATTTCTCGGTGAAGAGATGATTCTTCGGTCTTCTCTTCCTTGAGCTTTAAAATATTACGACCGTGAGGGACTGTAAACTATTGGTCTTGCTTATCTGAACCTTCCTCAGGACTGCCGGTTGTTATTGTCTCTCTCGCTTCTTGTCTCCATTTCATTCGCCTGTTTTGAAACCAGACTTTCACTTGGTTGTCAGACAACCCCAACATAGATGCCAGCTGATGTCGATCGGCTTTTGTTAAATATTTCTGAAGCTGGAAGCGTTTTTCCAGTCCCTTCCTCTGAAGATTAGAAAACACTGCCCTTGTCCAAGGCCTCCTTGGTTTCCTCGGCTTTGGTTGGCCGGGTAAGACTTGGCCTGGTATCGTTTTGTTAAGAACAGAGGTGCCATATTCGCCATACATGCCTGCCAATAATCAAAGGAGAAAGAAAGCCTTGTGTATAATAATAATGAAAATAACAATAATAGCAATGATAATAGTAATGACGATGATGAAATTAAAATGATAATAATAACTCTTGCCGATAAACATCTTGTTATACATTAACACGTAAACAGTAGCGATGTGAACCGACGTTTCGGAGTCTTCATGACGCCATTGTCAAGGTAAGCGTTAGGATTAGGAATTCTGCGAGTACTTATAACCGCAATAAATTTACATGATAAAGAATGTGAGATTAAATTACTGAAATAATTTAACACGGAGTGAGTCGGATTGCACGTTCAGAGTTGGTTTTAGTTCTCTGATGAACAACATCTCGTGCACTAAGTAATCGAATTAACTTTTTGCATTTCTTTAGAACATCGAAGCTCCTCAGTAGATCTTCAGGGACCTTGTCATATTTGTCTTGGTGGTGTTTCTACATAAAGGATTACCGTTGTTTATGTCTGTCCACACGCATGTGTAAGTGTCTGCGCGTATAGCCTACATAATCTGCATCACGCAGGTCATATTGAAAACGATAAACAACGAGTTGTTGGTTTATGATCTGTGGGTTTTTCTCTTCTACCTTTAGGTCTCAGTTAAATATACGGCTAACGAACACGGGTTGGATAATTATGTCAAGAAACAACTCAAGAACCTCAGCCTAAAAGTACCAACAACTGTCCAACCCGTGTTTATGAATAATGACAATGCACCTTATTCTACTGGGATAAACCAGATTTACATGAAGTTAGTATCATCTAAGCCCCAAAATTCAAACGAACTGTAACTAAACATCGTAAATGAACATAAAAAAATAGTGTTTAATAAACCCACTGACAAGAGGCGGACCAGTTAGCTATTTACAGAGAGCAGCCGAGGAGTTGAATTCGGGGCAACCGAGAACAAATCCAGTGGCTAGCAGGGTGGATTACTTGAACCCGAGACCACCAGACTGACTTATGTGCTACTCGGCCACCCAGTCACACGGCCACATGGCCTCACTGCTATCAACATTAGCAAAGGAAGATACCATAATTCTAGAAATTTTAAAGAGAACTATGCAATGGAAACCGTGTAATTTCTCTCTCCATTACTGAAAAGTATATTTCAAATGACTTTACTGCCCACGTTTTGTTAAACTAGAATTTCAAAAATTTTCTTCAAATGTGCCGCCATTTTGAAGGTAGCTCGATAAACTGGCCGCCCACCCATCAAGTAATAGGTCCTCTCTATTTGACGTAAATATTGGGGATCGTTCTCATAGCGATCGATCCCTAAAACTCACGTTACCCTCTCGCGTAACCTCGAAAGTGAACCGGCACCAATTGCACCTCGGTCACTCGCGGTCCCCTGTGCTTTAACCACCATAATCTCAATACTTTTCTCCATAATTTCCTAGATGCTTACAAGGAGAATTTGTCTGATAGTCAAGAGCATCTTCAAGCTAGTGATCATTTCCTTTACTTTCGTGACCTAAATGTGATTCAGGGGTGATACTATACGAATAAACTAGATACCAGTCTTTCTCAGGGTTCAAAGGATTAGAAAGGATGTTTGTTTTTACTTTTAGTCCTCATCAGCTCCTTATGATATTCATTTGATCTGATTGGCGGTTATGAATACTTTGGTATTAAACTGTTTTATAATTTAAAAGCTAAGCACTCTATCTCACCTGTTAATGAGCTGTACGAGTATGGAGTATGGCTGTAGCAAGCTTCACAATTTGAATGAAGGAGCGATCCACAAAGTAAAGGCTGCGCATGCGTAGCTAAATAAGGTGAAGCCCAATAAGTGGCGTGTAAGTGATCACATGCGCTAGGAACCAATGGGTAAGCACCTGAAAGAAAAGCAGCTTAATATTTATGATCTATCTTACTCTTTTTGGGTCAATTCAAGCTGTGACCGAGTCAAAACTGAACAGCGACAACACCAAAAAGAGCCACTGCAATATCAACAACCATTCCAATATTTACTTGTACTTTTCACGCCTAACCTACGCGAAAATTAAATAAGATTCCTGGCTGCTTAGAAAACTTAGAAATGGCTAGCCGAGCCAGGCAACCAACTGATACAAATATCTGAAAACAAAATAAATTGCAGGTCGTCAAAACGGTTCTAACTTACTCGTTCGATAAAAGGAAAAGGATAGTAAAAAACGAAAACTGCCCCCCCCCCCCCCGGCACAAATCTACATCTACACGGAAAAGGAGGAAGTAATAAAACAAGACTGCATTTATTACTGCAACTACTGGCATTACTAGAGGCAGATTACTACTTATTAATTATGTCCAATAAAAATCTGATTGCAAAGAAATAGCAGCATCATGTACCAACGACTAGTAACATTAAATTAGTAAGATGAGTCCCGATAAGTCGAACCGTCGGTAACTCGAATTCCCTGCCAACTCGAAGCAAAACTGATTTCCCTTGGATTTGCCTCATGTATTTACTGTAATTTAATGACCAAGTAGGTATAACAGTTTAACTACAGACTAGACATCCAATATGTTTTAAAAAAATCACCAAACTATTCATAAAAAGTAATAATTAATACCTCAGAGATAGGATCATTCTAAATTACATCCTTAAATTATGAAAGAGAAAAGGTTAGAGTATTTACATTGAACTGAGGAGCTCCATATTTGAGGGTGCTTAGAATTTATGTTAAAAATTCCTTTATTTAGAAGCAGAGATTATGACCTGCTTAAAATCTCTTGACTAGAAACATCTTTATACTATACAATGAGGTAGTATTTCTTATCGACCAGTGTGAATAATGAATCAAACACAGAGGGTGTATGTCCACTATGAATTTTTATTCGAAGAGAAAGATCTCAGCCTTATCTTACGGAAGGTGAGATCAGGTAGCTTTGCGATATCTCCAAAAGTCTGAAACCGGACTGGAGTCTATATGGTTTACATTCATACAATTTATAGAGCCAGTGACATTAAAGAGCAGTTTCCTTAGTGGAGGATAAAAATGGCAAGGTTAGGTTTTCAAGTCAAGTGAAAGCTTATTCGGCAGAACTCGACCATGAATAGGTATTGATCAATTTCATTATTACGATTTGATTCAAATACTCTCAGATTTTGTGCCAAACGAAAAATAGTTCCATTTGCAAAAAGATCATAATTCTGACTTAATCCAGAGTTTCAGAGGACTTACTTAAGTCATTCATATGAGCGTCGGGAAAAACCATAAAAAATCAGGTTGTAGATTTGACACAGTGTGCCCCCAGAAAACAAACTAGCATTCGGTAGTTAACTTTTTATGTTTTTATATTAGTATAAATGGTGTGGTGATTGAGTCATAACTATTCATTGACACCTCCGCAAGATATCCCCTGGGCAATTGCTTGATGTTTCCTCAAGAGGAAACCAATGAAACGAAACAATCATTCATTGCTTAATATCACTACCTTCGCAAAGTCACACCTAAATTGTTATTTCGTCTAAGAAGATAAGAAACTCGCCCCTTAAAACGTTTCAAAGAATATACGCCATGGAACTAGATACATTACACAGAGATTTCCTGTTTGATAACTTGTAAGTTGAACAAAAAGCTCTATCCTTGTATATTATTCACAGCGTTTCACAATGTACTCTAAGAAACATCGTAAATGAAAATCTTCAAGTTTCTTTCATAGTGGTTTTCTTATATAGAGTATTCAACCATACAACTTGCATGCTTGTATTCTGATTTGTAATTCTGCGGACAATACATCACAGGATACTTCCACCCTTCAGTTGGTAGATGAAGCTTAGCCCTAAGCCCTTACTGAGACCATTCAAAAGAAAAGCTGTACTTTCACGTGGTAATGTTTACTACGCTGTAAAAGGTGACTTCAACTTTTAAATCTCTAGATGAAAACTTAGTGTGTGATTATGCAAGTGAAAGCGATAGAGCTGTACTTTCGTGTGGCGTCTGTTATAGTGTACAAGGTACTCCCAATTGTAATGTGTATGCCTGTGTGCATAAAAACTAAGTATGTTACCAATTTAATGAAAGCCATTGAGAAGCTCTCCCATATGATACTTTTTATTGTTTTGTTTTGAATCGAAGATGACCCTCTATTATATCAATGAAAATCCAACTAGCGATCACTGCATTGAAATTAAAGTTTTCTTGCCGAACTTTTATGTGATTTTATCACTGCTGCGCGTGATTAGAAATTTCCGGTTGTCTGCATTCAAATGAAGAGTTAAGATTGTTTTTAATCACCCCAGTGAAAACGTTATTACCTAGATTTACTTAGGCTTTAAGTGTCTCAATTAGATGCCAAAAAACTTAATTCATAGACACTGAGGTTACGTTGTTGCTACGTTTTTTACTCTTCTGATGAACCCATGTTTACAAGCAGTTCATTTGTAAACTGACACTACTCCAGCAAAGCTACGTAAAAGTTGTTAAAATGTTTACATCTATGAGAACAAGAAAACTTAGAGTGTGATCATGTAGTACTGTCATTTTGTACTGTTTATTGTGTCTTACAGGATGGTTTGTATAGGTCACGTCTGCCAGATTACATCCTGCTCATCGTGACCATTAAAATAGAGTTCTCGTTACTGCTGTTCTTCACAAGTGACCTTACCTTCAAACTACGAAAGAGATCTCTCTCAAAAACACCCACACGTAGAAATCATCTCAAACAGTTGAAAAAGTCATTTTACGTTAACACACGTCAAGAAATAGAAAACCGTGATACATGGTCCCGAAATCAAACAGCATTAGCTGTTTTTCAGCAATGAAAGTGGAACCCCGCTCGCTTCATGTTTCATGTCGTTAAAGTGAATACTATAATCAACGTTCGCCGGCTGTGAATCATCACAGAACGCATTAGTCATATATGTGGTACTCGTATCAAGAAGAAATATTTATTGTTATTTTTCCGTTACTAATGAAATAATCAATCACATGTGGGTCATAATGGCAGATAAATAATTTTTTTTCACGATCTAAAACATAATTTTATCTCCGTGTGTGGGAGAACGTGGGAAAACGATCATGATAATGATAATATAACAAATTCCATCCAGATGTGCATTTCAAAAAACCCCCTCCCCCCTCAAAAATATAAATCGTGTTTCATATCTTGTTTTTCCTATCGAAGTTCTGGTCAACCAAGGCAGATGGCGTTGGCTTTAGGATCTATATACTGTAAGAAATATCTGAAACATGGTTGAAGTTTTATGACATGTGATAATTTGAAATGCTCTCTTTTAAATAAAATAAACAATTCGAGGTCAAAAATGTGCTGATATTAGTGACTAATTGCTGCTTCATTGTGCTAATGCTGTGCTAATTGTTCAATCGTTCTTGTGTTAACCATATTGTTTGCAATTAGGCTGGTGTTTTATTTTCATTTAATGAACAAAGACTCGCGATAGTAGAAGTTAAACTTACAAGTCAACTGCTTTCATTAGCTACTGTCTAGCTCTTCAAGCAATTACAATGATACTGGACATTATATTGTCACTAGTCCATTAGTGTCACTTTATCCGTGTTACCCACTGAAATGAAATTTGTTTTTCGAAAGTCCCCCGAAACGTGTCTTTCAGTCTCCAAAACACGTGTCCCATTGACATCAAAAGCTTTCTCTTAAGCATAATTATAACCTTTCAAATTCTTATAAACGGCTTTGGATTTTCGTGCGACTTATGATAAAACAGAAACATTTCGTCTAATTGGGTGGCCATTCTTGGTACAAGAAATCAGACAAGTTTGACACAAAATACCTGATCTTGTCATTTGGACAAACTTTCTCACGCTAGATTGAAAGATCTCGTGAGTAACGTTGACTCTATTAATAGTTCTTTGTGAGTTTTGAAATCCAGAATAGTTTTTGTTATGTAGTAAAAATATTTGTCTTTCCGATCTGGTGACGAATGATGTCCATTTGAGCTTTTATCGCATTCATATAACAAAGCAACACAAATAAGCAAATGGATTTTAGAAAACCGATTCAATCTATTGGCGCGCCTCCATTGTATGGCCTTTGTTGAATCTGTCTCTCTTGATTTCACTCATCTTGCACTTCATTCTCTCAACTTTCTTGGAAAAGGTGATCATCACCATCGACTACAAAGGAATTAGCGTCTAATCCATTTCTAGCTGATCGCCTAAGATGATTTGTGTATTTAAGTTTTGTTTTGAGGCAGAACAAGGCGTGGTCCTTTGTCTAATGCATGACAGCTTTTTGGAGACATAAAACCTTTGCGTTTGGTTAGAAATGCAATACACCGACAACAAAAATGTCCTTCGTTTTGCAACCACTTGAACATGTCAGGCGAAAAATCCGGAGCATCTTTCATCTCAGAAGCCACAGAGACAGTTCGAAAAGGTTTGGTTTTCCTCGGAATCTTGGTACCCAGCAAGGACTCAGCTTTCGTCAACTCTTTATTGCTAATTTTATTTGTGCAAATGAGACTAACAAGTGTCCGCTCTAGTAGCCTAAATAACCATAGTAAAAGTGATAAATCTAAACCAAAAGCAGCTGCCATTTCTGAATGGAAGGGGAAATGAAATGCAGTAACCGTGTTTTTCAGAGCCATTGTCCTCGGGGTGTACACTTCTAGAGATTTTCAAGTTCTCATTTCCGATTTTTGTAACCCTACTCTTGAGGAAAAGTATTCAAAAGGTCTTTTCTGGACTAAACGGATTTACAACTCAAAAAAATTGACATCATTCTTCTATAAAAAACAAGAAAACAAAATTATTATTTAACTCTTGCAACATGTTCGCCTATCCAGTAAACCTTTCTTAGATCTTTTATAGTTAAACCAAGTTTCTGAAACATTTCTTGTTGGAGTTCAAATCTGTAGAGGGTTTTTTCTCATACTTTTTAAAAAAGAATGAAGAAAAAGAGATTAAAAGCCCCTTTAAAATGAAACATGTTTTATTTTATAAAAACAAATCTAAACCATTATGATATATAGCTAAAAGGATGTCATTAATATGATACTCTTCAACACAACGAAAAAAGCGTTTAAAGAAGAAACATGACTTAAAAGGACTTGAAAGATGGTCGGAGAGATTGAGGAGTAATTAATTTTTGTGCACGAAGGAACGAAACAACAGAACATGTTCATGATGATAATAGTCATGATGATACACAAAAAACATCGAGAGTCTTACAAAATCTCCTATCGAAAGTTTTCAAATGACATATAACTGTGCCTCGGATACCTTGAAGGAGGATTTGCAAATTTTATTCGCCCCTCTATTCAGCAAAAGCTGTATACAGATACAAAAAAAGTACTGTCCTGGAGGTAAAATTTAAAATAATTTCAGGCTCTAATATCTGAAGACATAAAAAATAGTCAAAAAGAGGTATTTTCTAGAATCTATCCCAAAAAGTCAATCGTTTATATCTTTCTCTATATTTGTTTGAAGCCCTAAGAATTGAGAAAAGTCTGAAAAATGTGTGCCATTCTTTCTGCAGACAGAATATGTTAGTTATCTCAAAAATCATTCGTAAACACGTTGGCATTAAATCGACAAGGAAACAATGTATTACGGGTCGATAAGTTTACCAATTAAACATATAAAGATATGTTTTCATAGAAAAGACAGCTAATACTGATTCACTTGTTGTAAATTACACGTACATGTTGCACAGTCTTGTATCGCGGGACAAATATTTCGTACGGGTTTGTGCTTGATTCTTCTACTTAACGTGTTCAGTTGGCCTTCGAAAGGCGGCATGTTGTGGTGTACAGAGGGAAATAACCACAACGAAGTAATTTTCACCAAGTATAATTGAACTTATCATGAGAATATACTAATACACCGAAGAAATTCCTTTCACAGCTTGCTATGTACATATTCTATGTACCCATAGTTTGGTAACAAATCGATTTGAAACCAGCAGAATTTTAAATAGAAAACACATGGTACAGTTATTATCAAAAAGCTAACAAATTCTTTTGTAACAATTCAGCTTCTTAACGAAAGGCGAATTCGATCGCTTTTGGTTATTGATACTCCAATGTTTCGACATATCTCTGCAATAACATCTGTGCAAAGGCCTATATCTTTACTCTTTCTCCATTTCTCTTTCAAAGAGTTTTTCTCCTCTCATTTCCCATGAACAATTGTAACCCAGTTAATCTCACGAAAATTCAGTGTTGTCTTTTCCTGTTACGTTAACTGACTGTAGGTGTCTCATCAGTTTTCATAAGTAACCATCACATAACCAGATTTAATGAAATAACCCCCTTCTTTGACAAATAGACAATTATCAACTTCAAGGTCTATCCATCGAGCCAATTTCTTTAAAGATAACTCGCACCTTAAAATTTTTCTCTAATAATGAGGATCCCTTTGAGTAGCGTAAAACTAGAGGGCGTCTTAGTGCAGCCCTATAAGACGCGTTGTTATTATAACCAAAATCCCAAAACCCGAGACGTTTGTCAGAAAATTGATGTTTTTTCTCTTGTATGGTTAGCGCCCCTGTTCTTCATGGTCGATTTTTTCAGAGGCACGATCAGAAAAGAAAGAACTTCTGAGTTGTTGTTTAGATTGTAGCATATAATCCGAGCCTTTTTTGGTCTGCTGTGCTGTACATATCACGGAAACAAAGCGATTTTCACATCAAAGCAAATGTTCTAGCTATAGGAAATGCGTGTGACACCAGAAATGGTTATTGCTGTTACCCCATGTCAGATCCGCTCGACAATTGTACATAGAAGCAGGAACAGATCTAATCAGTGTTAACTATAGATGCTCAGTGTGGTTGGAATTTATTTCAAACCTAAGATAGGCGTTGAATTAAGAGTCACAACATCAGCTACTACCGTTTCCTAGGTTGAGCAACCTTCCTGTCCTATTTGCTATTTACAGAGACAGAATACTCAACAGCGATTTTTCAGGCTGAAAGATTGATTTTGTTTAATCATAAACTAGGGATACTATTTACACCATTTAATGAAGATAACGGGTCATTGCGAAAATAAAAGTTGTAAAGTGCTCGCCATGCCCGCAATGTTCGACCTATTTGCTGACAAAGACAAAAACAAATTTTCACCCTTCTCTCTGAGCGTCAACCACTTCAATAGTTTTATTCGTACAAGGGCGCAACTTCCGTAAATATATCTTTGATACAATAGATACGTTGTCGTTTCCGTTGTTTGATCGGCTTCAGAAACCGGGCACAGCGTGTTAGATTATAACGATCAAGTGTAAGCAGTCGAGAGCGCGCTGTGCTCAAAAACCGCTACAGGATGAAAACATCAACGAGCGAAAGGGCCATGAGATATTTGAATGGCAACTCGGCTGTCTGATCATTTCACAAATAAACATAAACGCGAAATAACATTGGTGCCTAGGCCTTGCCTTGCTCACCTGCAGTAATATGTGATAAAAGGGAAAAGATAAGCTTGGAAAACAATTAATTTAATATTCTTCTTTCGACTCTTTTAAACATGCTTTGGTATTTCTTTAATTAAGTGTCGCATTGTGTTCTACTTTGCAAAGAAACAGATTGCTCGAGCTGACTAGGTTGAGAAGCTGTTCGTAATATTCCATGCTCTGTTCCCGCGCTGCTTAAATCGAAAGCTTTTAACTACACAAATGCACAATCAGAAAGTGTTATTATTGATCGAAAACGGGAGTGGATAACTTACGATAATTGAGGTTCTAATCGACCATATTTTCCTCTGCGGTTGGCGAAGCAGAAGGCAGTTATAAACATACAATTTTTCCTTTTGTTAATATACCTCACGGTCAGCGAGATAAAATCAGAGACGTAAAAGTTTATCGCTTGTCTGTTGCGATCTAGTGTCGAGCCAAGCTGTTTAAAAATCTACCCATTTTAAATAAAACCATAAATGTTTTATGAGACTTTTTACGTATGAAACACACTTAGTATCTGCCACATAAGGCTGTAAAAAAATAAGTAATCTCGGATAAATCGGAAAACAAACCGTCCGCGAAACAAGCGCAAGATAGCGAGTTGGTCGCATCAAGATTTTAAGTTTCTTCTTATCTTTCTTACCTAACACAGGTAGTCTTTCTCTTTGTTCCGTTTCGTGTCTTGCGAGTATTTGGTCTACGCCAAAGCTTAACTGTTGATAATTTGGTATCGGGGTTGATGCGCCAATTCCACTGCCAGTTTGGGACCGGGATACCTGTGGTCGAGCTAAAATATCGTCAATTCTGAACGACGCCATGTTGTTCTTTGCACGGTAATCCAATTTAAAACTCGTGCTTTAGCTAAGTTGCCGTTGTTAGCTGGTCAACGAGAAGTTTGTAAAGCTATGGGTTGCGAAGATAGCAAAGACAAAGAGGTTCATCAGATGTCGATCTTCAATGGCCCACGGGGAGCTAAAAATGACACTACGTTGTTGATTGTCACTTCGAGTTCCATTAGCGTTGATTTGTTGATTTTTATCATCTTAGCTTTTCTTTGTCAATTGGAGACATATACATATATACGTAATGTGTTTCCTGAATAGTGCTTTTTGAGGAATGGTCTCGATTGATATCTGTGTTCACAGATGGGACGGGTTAGACGCATAGCACGCAAAATGGGCTGTGGACGTTTCTCATATCGCCCACAATCCCCACAGATTAGTAAAAGATACCGTTGTTTATAATCCAGTTATCTTGGTTGACACTGAAATTAAATTTCTCTGAACCGTAAGTTCTGCTGATTTGGAGAAAAAAGGGAAAGGATAGTGAACAGCCTTGTAAAAACAGCATATATTTTCGATTTACGGTGAAGAAATCACTTTGAAAGTAACTCGCTTATCTCATATCTTATGGTGTCGAGTTTACTCGGATGGCCATTGGGAGTCAATTATCACCCATTTAAGGTATTAGATTCACGTATGTTCATTTACACAGCCACACACGTGTATTAATATATCCTTTGGCTTAATTAATTCCTCACTCCATCACTGCATGTGTGTTTTTCATGTAGATGGAAAAGATAAAGGTGTTTAACTTTACATTAGACCGTTGTTCGAATGAACCCTGCTCGAGATTGTGCTGCTCTTCTGATATTTTCTTTTCAAACAGCTATGTAAAATCAACAACAGCAAATATCTTGTTGCCCACGAGTATTTCCTCCGTTTATGATTTATGCGGTTTTCTCTAAGGCGATAATTCAATTATCGCATGATTAAGATGGAATATGATCCGAAGCTTTAACAACTAATCACCAGAAAACTGTCTCTGCCAATCTTATTACTTTGTGTCCATATCCTGATACAGTGCCAAGTTAGTGAGCTAGGGTAGAATGGTTTCAGTCAGGTTAAATCTCGTATAGAGTCAAACGAGCACCGATGATGTTTGCTAATAATCCATTGGGCAAGATGCCTGACAAAACACGAATTATCACAGATACAAGCAGTCAATGTTATTTTAAGAGAACGTCGGCGTGATTATGATCGGTGTTTAAAGGTCTTTAAAGATACGAAACTGGTTTCATTAACTACGAAAGCGCATTTAATCCTTTAAACAGGTATTCTTGTTTATATCGGATTATATAAATCGCTTGGAGAGGTATTCAACCATTTTCAGCCGAGCCGGTAATTTCGCTAGTACATTATCACGCCCAGGACTCTAGCGCCTTTAATCGAACTGTGCACGCTATGTTTTTACTGCGTTTAAGAAAATATCATCGGTATGATTTGAAAGAAAACTCTCCATATTGTTGCCTTCGGTCATGACAACAGCATTTGATTGCGTGAATGTAGCAGGTCAATTTCATCAATATCCTAACATGTCAATTTCGATGACGGAGGGCATGCAATATGACAATTTATCTTTTTACATCAGTGAGTAACTCTCTCATATAACATCCATATTTCAGTACGAATTTTTGCACAAAATTTATGTGCGTCACATCGTCTTAGATGGAGCACTGCACTGGAAGAAATGTAACACTGATAAAATACCAAGGAATAAAAGACTAAAAGAGATGACACAACCTTCAAACAGGATTATTATTTAGTACTTGACAACTTCTTTGATTTCTCCAACTTTATGAATTAAACCAGTTTAAAGGCAGTCATCACTGTGGCAAGAGTTTCTTTGGTTTCACAGTCATTTCAGTCCATTTTACAAATAGCCACCTAATAGATCGGGTCTGATTCCTTTGTCTGTGCTGACTAGGTAACATTTTTTCCGAAAAAATTTTCTGGATACCGAAAAGCTGTTAAGTTGTTGACAGTCAGCAGAATTCATTCAAGTTTATGTTTGAAATTGGTGTATTAACGGAGAAGGTAGAAAATATTTGTCTTTGTACACTGTAGTTTTTCAATACAGTGGCTCTAAAACGTCTCATTTTTTGAAATGTTTTACATTCTTGATCTGACCTTTCATTCAAAATCTTTGTAACCTTTACATTTTTAACCGGCCTTATGTATTCTCATACGAAAAATTTATGTCAAAGCTTTTAATACAACATGTGTCAACAACGCAACCACGCCAGAACATAAGTCACAGTCACGTAAAGAGCTCACTTCGAGTACCTTGTCTAAGTTTCACAAGTTAATTATCCAGTGAATCATTCACACAGAGGAACAGCGAAACGCTTTTGTAACAGTTGTTCAGATGCCTGTTTAAACTGCTTCATGCAGCGGAAATATTAATGGCATCTCGCTCAGTTAGTTTGTATTTCTCAATGTTTGCTCCATGGGATCTTGAGAGAACAACAGTTTATGGAGATTCGTCCGGTAATGTTTGCGTTCTGTTGTCGTACGGTGAACTAACTCTAGGTAGAACAGATGTTGCGCTACTCTCAGGGTAAACAATAAATTTACTCTTTTTACAAAAGACGATGATGAACTTTTTATAAATCTTTTCACCTGCTTGGCTAGTCAGAAGTTTCAAATCCGGTTTTTCGAAAAGGTGACAGGTTTAATGACACAGGCTGCCTATCGAAGAATAGAGCACAGTTCATCCCTATTTACACTCTACAATGTACACCCATCATCTGCTAACCTAATCTTCCGTCTTAAAAATCTCGCAACAATTTTAAGTCCACGTCCCCTGTCCGAAAGTTTGGTTTGGTGTCTCAATCGCAACCACGTACGAATACAACATAAGCTCAGACTGAATTGCAACAACATCACAAGGTACATAGTTACTTAACCAACCTGTATTGTCTGATTATAATAAAGCTCCCTTGAAAGTATTTCAATCAATTCACGTGGTTTCGACGTGGCACAAAAGACAAAAGAGCAGCGTCAGTTGGAATTGCTTCAGCTGTTTTTACGGCATGTGAAAACTACAGTCTGGGCAAAGAGACAAGAGCAAGGCCTTTTCATTTCAACAATGAAATCAGTGGCAGCAAGTGAATTACATTCAAATGCATCAAAGACATATTTATCTTTTACTCGACTATTTCACCTTCCTTTTATTTACAAAGGAATACATATTCTTCTTCGTGAAGTTTAATTTACCATAATGAGACATGAACAAAATCTTATCAAAAGAGGTCTGTCAAATTCCGGAGAAATGTTTGACTGTCCTCGTTGTAATATGACCCAATATTTACAACCTAAATTTTTGTATCCGGCACTGTCAAAGTTTTTTTTACCTGTGGGCATTCGGCTTGTTCTACATAAAATTTGCGTTATACTAACGATCCCTTCGATCGCCGATAATTCCCTACTTTACCTTTCTTTATGAGCAGACATCTCAGTTTTAAAATTTTTTTTAAGCAGCCTGTACCTAATCTGCAACCTGACAACCCTATAAGCAATACAAGAGTAACAATTTCTTGGGTCAGTCGACTCCTTGACATATTTATGTCTCCCTCCCCTCCCGTCCTACAGGTTTGTTTGAAAATTTAATCAAAAGGATTTGTGTTCGCTGCATTTCCAACTCTAGAGAGGATGAGAGAGTTGGGTGACCCGTTAATTCACACACCGTAGCTTTCACGTACCTTACAACCTAACCTATGGCATCAAGTTTGTAGAAGTAGTAGGGGTAGCAGAAGTCTCTATTTCTTCACAAGGTGAAAATTACAAATCTTATATTACAAGGTGAAAAGGTTAAAAAGTAGTAAAAAGGTGAAAAAAATAATAAAAACATGCAAAAAATTTCTAAACTTACAACGCTATAGAGTACTTAGAAATTAGACGATTTGCATAAGAATCTTTAAAACGGTCTGTATAAACTTTGGGCAATGACAAGATTTGTGTTTTCTCACAACGCTGTCTGAGCCCACTCTAGTCTTTCCCTTCTTCTTATGAGCACACGTATTTTCCTACTTCTCTTGCAGCGCCGATGTTTTGTGGAAAGGAAACATCCACGCTATCATTCATGTTTCTAGTGTCCAATGCTAAGTTGCTGACTCAGCGAACAGGCTCATCTTTGAGGTTACGTTTATTTCGTAATCACGAAGCTAAAAAGCTTGCGCGCGGTACTACTAACGAATACGAATTCTCAACATTTTCTTCCACCATTCATTTACACGTCAGCTCAGAAGGTGACTTTTGTTTCGTTGGTTACCTGGTTGTTTCTGGTTTACCTCCTCGTCGTTAGAAAATCAAACTTTTAACTGCAATACTGTCTTAAAAATACGCAGCAATATATCATTTTTCTACTCGCGACGCGTAAGTTATTCTCTGCTATCAGTGAATACAACCGACAACACATGGCGAATTAATCAGTTTGAGAAGGGTACTTGAAAGAGACGGAAATTTGTTTTCCAGATTGAGCATTTGATACAGCTTAAGTAAGAAGTGACATACAGACATGATAACGGATGGCCTCATCCAGACAATCTGCTCTCAACACCGGAAGAGCAAATTACAGCAGCTCTGATCCGTAACGGCGATTTCGTGGTTCCAGTTTGCTTTATGTTTAATATCAATATAGAGATCAGGTAAATGTGAAATGAAGTCTGCTATGTTTCTACATATGTTTCAAGGACAATTAACCGCCTTATTGACATTTGAGAGAGATTCAAAATGATTAAACTCCTTCCTGTTTTGAGAGGGTTAAGAGATAGAAATACAGAGAATTTCGATATAGAACTGCCAGAAACTTGAAGGATTATCGGAACTGAAAATTTTACAATTCCATTCAAGAAAGTCAAAGCACTTAAGGTTTCTTGCTCCCCAAGAGCTTCTCCCTCTGTAAGACGACTTTCATTTTAATTTTTTTCAAAAGTCAGTAAATTTCGATATGAATTGAAGTTTCCTGAGGTGAGTTAGGAGGTTAAATTTAGAGGAAAGTCAGAGAATAGTAAAATGTAACTTGCAGTTTTTTTTTCTACATCGTTGTGAGTTGGGAAAAGATCGTAACAGTTGGAAAAAATGCCTTTAAAGATAAATATATATTTTTTAAACTACT